AGGCCGTTGGGCTCAGTTTCACGCTTCAGACGCACTAATGAGGGTCCCTCTGATAGACAGAACAGCCAAAAACAGGCCGTCACTCTCATCTACTTTCTAAACTCATATGACTTTCTTTCTCCCAAGAAACTCAAAAGAGATATTTTGAAGAATGCTAGTCATTCTTTTCCATGTAATCACAACTAAAATGTGCACAATTCTCACTTCATTAAAAAAATTAAATAAAGCTCTGTATGCTTAATATACATACATAGAAACCCCCAAAAAACATGGCAGAGACTTCCCATTATAAAGTGACCCTAAATTATGATCATTTCAACTTAAATTCCAAGTCAAAAGAACAATAATGTGCACAATATTTATATAAGTAAATGTAATGTGAACTACAGATCAGTTTTTGTTAATTGAGATTCACTGTACCATTCTGAACTGATATTGAGGTTTCTGAAACCAAAAATGTATTGTGGGCCATGACACCAAGACCTCCGCTTTTGTAAGAATAAGATAAAAAAAAAAGGAAAATGAGGAAAATTAAAGATGGTCAAACAACCAACTTTACAACTTTTGGACCACTTGAGATGGAAAGACTAAACAGAATAATTGGTAAATGCGATCCAACAATTGGGAAAGATTAAAAGACGTAGTGTTGAGACGCAGGTGAATGATCTTCTCGTAAAGCCCATGGTGCTTCTCTCATTAAACTGAACACAAAGCAGAACTGGTACTCACTTCACTTTCTCAGCCGTCTGAACAGCCGGCAGCTCGACCGTGACCATGCCGTCTGAACTGGTCTTGCCGATCAGGTAGGGTTTGGTGCGCAGTATGTCAGGCGCTGTCATGGTGGAGACGCGGTGCTGCAGTCCTCCGGCGCTGTTCCCACGGTTGGTGAGCAGGAAGGAGTATTGCGTCTCCGGCTGAAGGTTGGTGATGAGCTTCTGCGTCAGCTTCCCATCCACCTCCACACTCTGGCCGTTATCATACAGGATCTACGAGGAACCACCGTCACGCCAGACTTTAACCAGTTTTAATGTGTTAGCTGGAGCTAGTGATCCAAAACCTAGTGTGCAGCCTGTGCAGGCAGCATTTTAAGGGATGCTCCAAATGTTAGGCAGCATTATGATGATACCTTCTTTTGGCCAAATATTAAATCGTAATTGCATGTGTCCGTTATGCCGTATTTTGTGCTACTCTGCCTTAGACGGTCCCTTGTGAAAAATAAGTAGGTACTTAAAAGTACATATTTAGAGCATACTTAGCATACTAAGAGTACTTATTACAAAAAAATACTTTAAAATAAAATACTTAAGTGTGAACTGAATCAAATGTTTTCAGATGCTTAACTGCATTTTACTTGCAATTCAATTAAATTGTATTATAGTTAAAATTTACATTAAATGCAATTAGCTGAATTTTTGTGTTTTTGACCCACTTAAGTAGGACTGAAGCACATCTCTATATGTAATTTTATAATGACTTCTGTCTTTGAAATATGGTTAAAGTACTGCTGAATGTACTGAGAAGCATTTATGATCAACTAAAATATACTTTAATGTCATTTCTATTGAAACTTGTATGTCACATATTTAAATACATCTGTAACGATGAAGCTGCAATTCAGTAAATTTAAAACATTAACTTTAATGCTAATATTGAATAACACTACAGTTAAAATGCTAATCAAGTTATTTTCATGTGCTTTAGTATGTTAGTCAACACATCAAAATAAGTGTACTTAAGTGTTAAAACAGCACAAAAGATTATTAAAACAATGATTTGAAACATACTTTAAAGTAAGACTTCATTTCACATTATTACAAAGATCACTTTTTAAAAGTGTACTTAAGTGTGTTTAGAAACAAATTCATGAAAGTGTCTCTCTTTAAGTCACTTAAGGTGCCTTTTATATTTTTTTACTATACTTTTAAGTTTTAAAGTACACTACAAGTGCATCTTAATATCCAATTAACCCTTTAGGCGCCAGGGATTTTTGGGGAAAATGCTGGGCATGACCGAAAGTTTATGTGGGGTGTAAATATACTCGTCTAATTTGCATATTATGACGTCATCAGAGGCGGCCATCTTGAATTTCATAATATTCAGGAAATAGTAGATATTGAATTGATGTTTGAACTTATTTTCACACGCTATGAACTGAACTGCTTTCGCATCAATGACGCGATAGCTCACTTGCTCTGCTATTTTCCCGAACACTTTGAATAGGAACGTGACATAATTTTGGTCTAGAATCGAAGTACTACATGTCTGCCATCTAGTGGTAGGGAATACAAATGAGATATTACACCATATTAGGAACTACAGTCTATTTTATTAAATAGACTGTCGCAATTTTGCGACTTTGGCGCTTAGAGGGTTAAGCACACTTCTTTTTCACAAAAGGAAGCTGGCTATGTAGCCAGTTTCTAGCTGACAGAACCTCATGCAGGCTAACGCTTTCTCCGAGTCTCTCACCGTAAACGGCTGCGCGGGGTTGTAGTTCTCGGGAATCTCCCACGTCAGCAGCACTGAGGTCTTCATGGCAGCTCTCACGTGAAAATTTTTTGCAAACACTGCTAAAAGAAAGTTGGGGCAGATGAATTAGACAAACAGATCCGCAACACTTCGTTTCAACATCAGCCTTACCTGCCAAGCACTTCGCCTGCTACCTCATGAGGACTAGCCCAGAGCTCCAACCTTACCTGCAGCTTACCATCGACTCTCCGCAGGACGCTAACTGATTTGAACTAGCTATGCTAAGGACATTTTCAGATTTGCTTTGGTTCTGAAATCCAAACTCTTTCTCACAGGTGACTTAAGGTTGTAGGAGAAGGCAAACGGGGCCGAGAGGGTGTTGCGAGCCTCCTACCTTGGTTGATGGGTTGCGTTCTGAACTGGACGCTAGGACTGTAAGGGCCGGGGCCCTTACTGGTGAAGGCACACATTTTAATATCGTACGTGGTGTCTGCTTTAAGGCCGTCCAGTGTGACGGTGGACTCAGGTGCTGTGATGAACAGTTCTAAAAGAAAGTTGGGGCAGATGAATTAGACAAACAGATCCGCAACACTTCGTTTCAACATCAGCCTTACCTGCCAAGCACTTCGCCTGCTACCTCATGAGGACTAGCCCAGAGCTCCAACCTTACCTGCAGCTTACCATCGACTCTCCGCAGGACGCTAACTGATTTGAACTAGCTATGCTAAGGACATTTTCAGATTTGCTTTGGTTCTGAAATCCAAACTCTTTCTCACAGGTGACTTAAGGTTGTAGGAGAAGGCAAACGGGGCCGAGAGGGTGTTGCGAGCCTCCTACCTTGGTTGATGGGTTGCGTTCTGAACTGGACGCTAGGACTGTAAGGGCCGGGGCCCTTACTGGTGAAGGCACACATTTTAATATCGTACGTGGTGTCTGCTTTAAGGCCGTCCAGTGTGACGGTGGACTCAGGTGCTGTGATGAACAGTTCTGAGGGGCTGCGAGGGCTGTTGATGTCTTTGTACTGAAGGGCGTATTTGATGACGGCTCCGTTGCGCTCGGCTAACGCCACAGGCTGCCAGCTGACCTGAATGGTGGTGGTCGTGCTACTTTGGGCTACGATGCCTTGTGGGTAACCGGCAGGAGTGTCCTCGGGCGTGGTGATCTCCTTCACCGTCTCCTCTCCGAATCCCACCCGGTTGCGGGCCGAGAGGCGGAAGGTGTAGGATGCCCCCTTGTGGATCTCTTTGGTGGTGTAGTGGTTCTCGCGCTCGGAGAACTCGATCACGGTCAGGGGCTCCACGTCCTTACGGCCGAACCGCAGTCGGTAGCCTTGCAGCAGGCCGTAGGTGTTTGTCGGTGGGTGCCACTGCAGTAATGCCGTGCCCATGTTCGTCGGACTCACCATGAGACGAGGCTTTTCCGGAACTGAAAACGGACAGATGACACAGAGAAACATACGACGGTTTAGAGGTGGCCGACTGGACCTCAATTCATAATATCAATATAGAGCACAACATAGTTATTTTTCCTGGAAATACAGTTGTTATGATATGGATACCAATTAATTCTCACAATTACGATATCACAGCAATAACTAATACTAGATTAACTAATCCAAGAAAGAGAAAAGTAGAGTAGTCTAGGGGGCTGCGATTTGAACAAAATATTATATAAGAATATGAGTAATTTCATAATAGCAATAAATATATAACAATAGAGCTTGTTACAATACTAAATACTTGGATACCTAATTTCAAAATCAGCACAAAAACTAATACTATCTTAACTAATCCAAGCTTCAATGCAATAAAGAGAACATAAGTGTCAACAGTATATGAAATTTATTATGAAACAAATTAAGTTTTAGTCGTTAGGCAGCTCTACTGAAGACAGTATTGTCATTATAGACCTTTTTCACACTTCGGAGTTCGAAAAGCAGAAGCTTCGAATAGTTGTGTAAAATAACTTCTGCTGTAACAGTGACAATAATGCAGGCGTAAATTCTTTTACGCTACTAGTGGAAGCGACACGCGGACTGTGAAAAATGGCCTATTCAGCTCATTTCAGATTCAATGTTGATTCAGTTCAATAACAGTGAACACAAAAGTTATTCAGTCAAGAGCAGTTAGTTTTTTTTTTTTGATTTACATTAATGACACAAACATGTATTAGGCTGCTGTCACTTTAAGACCTAATACATGGATCAAATAGAGACAATTTTCCCCCAATTGTTTACATTCACTTAAGACATGGCTGGCAATGCTTACATAAATACTGCCTTTTTGTGTGAATTTGGTCATTTGTGCGCTCTGAAAAATAACTCAATTCAGACAATGTGCAAGTACCTAATTGAGTTTTGTGTCTTGTTGCACTTGAGCGGTTTAAAATCGCTTGTATGTTTAAAACGTACACAAATGCAACATTTTTGTGATGATGCAGTGCTACAATATCATAGTGCAATGTAACCGCGATAGAGACTGAAAAATAAAACTTCTAATGTTTTATCATGTCTGACAGTAAATCGCCCACTCCTACAAAAATGTATGCTGCGCTAAAATAATCTAACAAAGTTTTTCTCAACAGGACAGCAAAATAAAAATAAAAAGTTCAGCTTTTAAACTGTTAAAATGGAAGCGAAAACACATCTTTTGTTGATGACATCAAATGTTGCGTGTCCAATCAAACTCTACAACATTTTTCTTTAAATTAAAACAAAACTAACCAAGGTAAAATAGAATATAATCAAGACGATGTTAAATCTGAAGCAAAACCAGTTTAGGCTCACTGATCTAACATACAGCCACCGATCCTCTTAATATTGCACTGCTGTATCTATCCCCCTAATTCTCCAGTCGAAAACCCTGCGAGTTTGACAATTTGTAATGATACAATATCAAATAGAAATCAACAGTGATACTGTGCACCTTTTCACAGTCATGTGCTCAAGGACAAAAGTGAAATAAAAGGCTTTTCAGGAGCTGAATAACAGCACAATTAGGGGTACAACAGAAAAGCACCTGTACTTATAAGCGATTGTGCGTTTCGAGCCTTTCAGTGATAATCGAGACGTCATATTCTTTTCTTTTGAAAAAGTCTATTTTGGCATTTTCCTGACAGATTTTTCCATTATTTCCTTAACCCCTGCGAGCATTTCAAAGTCAGAGCCGTAGGTGAGTGGAATTACAATTGCCGTCATCACTGCGAGGGCAATTATAGGCATTCAGTCTTAATGGCTGCAGGGGAGAAGCCTGAGCCTCGGTGGCGCTCACGAAGTCCACAGCAACAGAGGCAGAAATTGCTCTGAAGCGGCGCGAACCTACCGGCTCCGGTGGTGGTGACCAGCTTGGGTTTGCTGCGTGCCCCGTCGCCTTTGGTCGTGTAAGCGGCGACCGTAACCGAGTACATGGTCTCGGCATGCAGGTCAGTGAGGATTAACTCCTGGGAAAAAAAAAAAACAGCAGGACGTGAGTCATTTTTAACAAAAAGCTTTTAAATCATTATAAAAAAAAGCTCAAGAATGTGTTTAAATGGCAGTATAAAAGAATAAAGGAAAATGGGCCTGTGCGCATTAGGACTCATTCACTAAGAGAATCAGTTTGCTTTGCTCCTCGTATGTAAGTCGCTTTTGATAAAAGCATTTGCTAAATGCATAAATGTGTTTTTACAGGTGCAAACACACATGCATTTGTTCATCCCCTCATTCTAATGTCCATGATTATTTTAAATGCATGCATGTCCATAAGTAGTATTTAGCATAATGACTAATTATTTTGTTTAAATAAGAAATTAGAAAGCATTACTGCTGAGTTATTCAGTTTCTTATGATAATATTATGAATAAAACATTTTCGATTAACATACTGCATGTGTCTGTGAGTTTGCATGCAAATGTGTGATTTAAGTTGTTTCAAAATGTCAAAATCAGGATTTTTGTGATAACATTCATATGCAGATATTATTCACATGTATTGTTAATGAATGAGATGCCTTCTTTAGATGGTTACGCAAAATAATATTAATAGGCCAGCAAGGAAAGAAAGTGTATGTAAATAAAGTGAATGTGCAAAGCTGCAGAATTCTGCGATGTACTCACATGTTCGGCTGAATCATCATATTCCCACTGAAGCCCAGACCAGAGAGCAGCAGGAGGAACAAACAAACAGACAAACAAGAAAAGAAGTTCAATTAGAGTTTGCTGGTGAAGACACGAGAGAGTGTCAGACGACGTGCGTCTCTTCTGTTTCGGTGAGTGAGCAGATGCTGGGATGATGAATGATTCATAATTCTGTAGGATTCAAACAGCGTGTCGGTGTCTCTGCGTTGCACGCTGAGGTCAGGATGTGATGTGTCGTGTGAAATCAGACGGGCCGATCTCATCACGCTGTCCATTGTCTAACATGAAGGCACGTATAATCAAGAATGTAACAGGTCTATGCGCTGTGTGTGATTCATGGCACTTCATCATTAACCTCACATGGGAAAATTAATGTCTAGGGACAGCCTTCAGTCTTAAAGATATGACAAAAGGATATACAAACCTGTGCATGTCATAAGTATACACTTACGGCCTTCTTTCTTCCAGTTATTTGGGTCATTCAGTGAAAAATGACCCTTTGTATCCTTCAATAACTTACAGTATGTGCAAGCAAGGACTTTTACAATGAATAGCTGTGTGTTATTATAACACATTATTACTTTTTCATTTTAGTTTTAGTTTTAGTCTTCTTTGCTGTGTGTTCAAACTCGTGCTTCCTTGTTGTATTATCAAATATGCACAATTTAAAACAATAAGTAAAATGAAACGAATTTATTTATTCTGTGTCATAATCACATCATCTTTGCTGAATGTATTTATTATTATAAAAATACCAACATTAAATTGTTTTTCTAACAATTATATTTTATTTTTATAACATATAGTGAGCTGCCCTGCTGACAACACAATAATCAAATAAGCAATGAAAAAATAAATAATTGGGGGGGGTAAATAAATTAAAAAAAAATTGGAAAAACCATCTTGGATGTTTTTTTCGCCCTCTAATCATATGTTTTGAAATGCATTCTGGGATTGCCAAATTAAGCCTACTTTCTGGTAACTAGGTAGGCAGCTCGCTAGTTTGTGAAAGAGTCCTAAACTTGAATCAAAATAGTTGGCAGCTGGCTGTATGAACTCTCATAACCACAAAACTCAACTCATAACCACAAAACTCAAAGCTTGTAAAGATTGACTTGAGAAGCGGTGCAGCTGTGCAGGTGGGTGCCTACCTGAGCGTCATCGATCAGAATGTCCTTGATGACAGGGTGACCACCGGGTTCCCCATTAACCATCCTGACATAGTGCACCTGGTACCCACGGATCTGGCCGTGCTGCCTGCTCGGCACCGGCGACCGCCACAGCACTTTAACAGACGTGGAGTTGACAGCCTCCACCTCGACTTTACGAGGAGGGCCACTGGGCACTGAGAGAATTATGGGATAGAAGACAGAAAGGTCAAGCTTAAAGACGACACCTCACGTCCGACTGGACGTCTCCCCTGAGAAAGCGGTGAAGCAGACAAAAATCTACAAAATGGGATTATACCATTAACAAGAACTGGATAACACTAATATCTCAACAATGGGAAGTCAAAAACAAAAAAGAGAGAGAGAGAGAGAAAAAAAACAAAAAACAAAAACAATCCCCAAAAACAGGTCACACAGCTGACCTAATTTTTTCTGAAAAAAATGGGTTTAGTGGAGTCAAAATATGGAATAAAAACAAGCAAAAATAAGCCAAGAGGAGTGTTTCAGAGGTTTGAAGCACTCTAAAGGAGTTTGGCTATGATAGAGTGAATACAAAAAGAAAAACAAATGGAAAAATTTAAGAAAAATGTCATCAGTGTGGGACCTTTGAGAAAAAAAAAGCCCCATTTCTGAAGATTCACTCTCGATTTAGTTGTCTTTTTTCATGTATGAAAATGAGTTTCACTCCATTAAAAAAGCCATTTCATTTATCTTAATAAGAAAATGGGGAAAAAACAGCAAGACATTTGGGATTGTTGGAAGTTTAAGGTCGTCAGAAGCACATGCCATGAAATAAGTCTGGTCAAGTAAAAAGTCTGAAAAATTCTCTCGAAAATTCTCCCAAAAATTGCCAAAAGGGGACAAATGTTGGTTCGGTGAAAGGTCACAAAAAATCCTGGTTAGTAGAGTTAGTGTAAATAGAGGGAGCGAGAGGGGCGAGGGGTGTTAGGGTGCTTTGTGCAGAAGTCTGGCAGAAGTGGGGCGTGTTTTAAGGGTAGACATTAGCATAGGGTCACAGTGGCGTGTGAGTAAGACATACCATCCTCCTCCGTACGGATTAGCTGAGGTAAACTCTCAGGGCCTTCTCCCGCTTCAGTGTGGGCGCTCACTGTCACACGGTATTCCGTCCATTTCTCCAAGTTTTCCAACAGATAATGGTACTTTTCTGGCGGTATGTCCGAGACTTGATGCAACGAGGTATCATCGCCTTCGGTCGCTGCGTACTGGACGGTGTATCTGGTCATTATTCCGTTTTGGAGCTCCACCGGCGGCAGTTTCCAACTTACCAGAATGCTGGTAGAACTGGGACTAGTACACTTGACTTCCTGGGGTGGAGCTGAGGGCTCTGATTGGAGGATCAGAGGATTGTGGGAGGAGCAGAATAGTCATTGAATTGGATTTGAGTGGTTTTGGAGTTTGGTTGGATCCAGGTGAGGTTCACGGGGGTTGAGGTAAGAGGATTTTTTTGTTTTTGTGGTGGAGGTGGAGATGATGTTGATGGACAAACAAAAACAAAAAACAAAGGGAACATAAAATGACATCAAATGAGGATGAATCACAGGGACTACATTTATATATAAAAAAAAAAAAACGATGACATGAAAATCAATTTAATGAAGCTTAAAAAGAAGAACAAAACGGGTAGAGATGTCACAGACTTCTCATAAGGAGGTAGAAAAGATCAAACAAATTCACAAATTGTGCAGGGTGGGACTGGTGCAGACCCTAAAGCTACAGAACCTACCTTCGTAACTCTACATATGTAATTTTCCCCCTAAATATCCTAAATTCAGGGCTCACATTTCAATTGCTCTCATCATAGGTCAACAGCACTGCGAAATATATAAATGAGCTGCGTTTAAATTGGGCCCTGTTTCCTCCAAGCAGTTACCATCAATCCAAAATTTCAAAGGTTGATGTGTCAGCTCTGTAAAAAACAGGAAATGCATTGCTCACCAACCTTTCCGAGGCCTGTTGGTTTGAGGTAAAAGCCTGGTTGGTCCAAGAGTTCCTGACTGACGTTTCTAGACTTGGACATGCAAACACTCTACCGCAAAAACAGCCCTCCAAGATACTTACCTGGCATGTACTCAGAGGACCTCAGATTTATTCAGATTGTCTCAAATTGTGAGTACGAAGTGAAGCACAGTCATACATTACTTATGCATCAAATTATGCGAAATTAATGAAGGAGTTGATCTAAAGGTTTGGTTACAGTTCAACTTGAACGAATGAAGAATAAATATGAGGTCTTTTGGGAATGCGATTCTCTTTTCTAGCTACGTATCATTGCATTTGAGCTTACAACAAGGCTCCAGAGGGAACCTCTACAAATTTGGTAAATCTTTCAAATGCAGTGTGGTATACAAAAGCCAAAGTCAAAAAACAAGGCACGATTGCAGCCAAACAGATGAATAATTCAGTCTCATATCTTACTTGGCTAATAAATGATGCCAAATTGAACAAAGTGACTTTGTCATTTGACTACATCTTCCACCAGTTGCCTTTCATTCAAACAAGACGTTTGCTAACATCGCCCTTAAAGCGGAGAACAGAAATGCCTCCATCTCTCAAAAAAATCTCTTTGTAAAGCACTGCTCAAACAAATTCAGGATTACATTAGCAAACGCTGTTGAGAAATGGAGGATTTCTGCTTTGTTAAGTGCTGCGCCTGTTCTTGAACCGCTGTTTTTGGGAAAAACAGTAAAGACAGAAAGGGACCTACGTGTCTGAGGCGTTTCGGCTGAGATCTCATTGGTGTATGCGCCGATGCCGTGTTTGCTGCGAGCGGCCAGCTGAAACGTGTAGGTAGTGAACGGCTTCAGATCTTTCAGTAAATAGGTTGTGGTGGGCTCAAAGCTTACTCGTTTCTGAGGAAGGAACGACAAAATAGAGTTTGTACAGTCAACCTGAGCAATGACAATGACATCAATTCTGCGACTTAGACGAGTGAAGACGTTTGCCAATGATGGTTCACGTTCAGACCTCCTCTTTGTCATCTCCTTTCTTATAGAGCAGCTCGTATCCGACGATTTGATTGTCCTGGCCCGTCTGAGTCGGCAGGTTCCACGACAGCAAGATGCTCGTCTCAGATTTGGCTTCGCCTTTGAAGTCCGTTGGTTGAGAGGGCACTATAAAAATGTTATAATAAACAACAGAAGTGAAACAAATGATCATTTCCATTACAGTCATTTCTCTTCATGTTTGTATCGTGGGAATGCATTAGTGGACAAGCTTAGTAACTCGAGGTTCATAACATTCAATGTATGAATAAAGCCCATCCAGTCATCCAATCCAAGCTCAAGATTTTCATAAGTGCTTTTACCACAATGCCATTCATCTGCTAAGGATCATCTGATCTTTTGCTTTGTGTCTACTAAATTACAAATTAAAACAGAAAATAAATCAAATGAAGTAATTCATTCAGGGGCTTTTGTAATAAACAACAGAAGTGAAACAAATGATCATTTCCATTACAGTCATTTCTCTTCATGTTTGTATCGTGGGAATGCATTAGTGGACAAGCTTAGTAACTCGAGGTTCATAACAGATTCAATGTATGAATAAAGCCCATCCAGTCATCCAATCCAAGTTCAAGATTTTCATAAAGTGCTTTTACCACGATGCCATTCATCTGCTAAGGATCATCTGATCTTTTGCTTTGTGTCTACTAAATTACAAATTAAAACAGAAAATAAATCAAATGAAGTAATTCATTCAGGGGCTTTTGCAAAAATACACATTATATACATTAATGGCATTAAACGTTTTTATGTTGAATTTCCAGCAAAAAGAGCCATAGTGTGATATAAAATTATTCATGACGCTATGATAAGCTTCTGACTCTAACATATATTATGATTCCATTTAAACAATATTTAAAATCCTGCAAAAAGTAAACAACAAGAGCTGTTATTCCTGTCATTCCCAACACCCACCTCCAGTTTTGGCTATGATCTGCAAATCAGAAGAGAGCGGTCCATCTCCTACAGAGGTGAAGGCCAGGACCTTGATGTAGTAAGTCTTATTGGGCGTCAGGCCCGGAATGGTGAGGAAGTTGGAAGTCCTTACAATCTGTTTCTCCCATTGGTTGACATGCTGGCTGGGATCGGTGGTGTAGTAAACCCTGTAGCCTGTAATCTGCCCATTTGCCTCCTCGGGTTCATCCCAGTGGATGATGGCGGTCGTTGCACTTAGCATGCGCCCTCGGACTTGCCGCGGGGCGGTACTCGGCGCTTGCTCCGCTGTTTTGGACTCAATGGCTTCGCTGGGAGGCCCGCGTCCAATGTTATTCACTGCGACTACTCTGAATTGGTAGTCGGAGTAAGGGCTTAGCCCACCCACGCTGTATCGAGTGGTGGCGACTCCATCGATCTCTTTAGACACAAACATTGCGCTTCACTCTTGTTGGACTGGGACACTGAAACAGATGCCATGCACAGGTGACCTACGCGTGACAGACAGACGGCAGCACACGGGGAAACTGGAGGGCCACAGCATGCAGGAGTTGTGTGCATTTGTACAACTTCGATGCTGCGTTCTCTTCCAGTTGATGTGAAGGAATGTGCCGGATCACATTGCCACATCACACACACGGCGACAGGCCCGCCACTAACTAACAACGGGTAGAGACTAGCTGTGACTGTCTGCGGCTGCCATTCCAAAAGTGGACACATGTGTCAACGGAGACGGTGGTGAAACCGTGAATAAACAATGAAAGTGTGAATTTGAAACTGAATCGAAATGAAAACGAACAGATGCAACAAAATAATAGATAAACCCTCAATGCAAATGGGGCATGGGGGGGGGGACAGAAAGAGAGAGAGAGAGAGCGAGAGAGAGAGAGAGAGAGAGAGGGATACTATGTGCCAGCTCCTCAGAAGAGGGTTTACGGGACAGCAGAAGGGTGGGAGAAGATTCAAGAGTCCAAAATAACTGAACCGATGTCAGTGTTACTGCTTAAATACTGTCAGTCTCAGACGGCACTGGCTGATGTATAATGCACACAACAGTGGCAGGAGCTTTCTCAAAGCGACAGACTCCACCGGCTTTACGCAGCTTCAGGGAGTCAGTGTGCAGCAGCTTATATCAGTCCTGCTACAATGAACCCATCTGAGGACGACGGATCACTGGATTTTACAAAGTTTGAGAGGTTCATCATAACAAATCTCGCAAGATTTTTGTAGAGATTCTTTGGGACATTTGGTGGCAGTGCACTAGATCAGTGCTTCCCAAACATGTTCCTTGAGGCACACCGACGGCACACGGCTTCAAACACATCTTCAATTCTCTTTAGAGACTCCAGGACCTGAAATGGTTGGGTCAGAGAAGGGAGATGTCCAAAATATGTACTGTTGGTGTGCAGCCAGGAACAGGGTTGTGAAACACTGAACTAGTTCTCTATGATTAGAACATAACACTCCACTAGGGAGGGGTTCCTCGAATACGGACCACTGATCTGCAGAGTTTGATTTTAACCCCAATAAGACAGCTAATTAAAGTCTTCAGAGTTACAGGTAGGTGAGTTTAATCAGGCTTTGAGCTAAAGTCTGCAGGGTCAGATTAGAGGAACTCTACACTATGGTCAGGGTTAAATCCCATTTACCTGCTCCTATTCGTCACACCTGAGTCTAACCCTCTCCTCCTGTCCGTGGCCAGGATCTTCATTATATCACTTGAAATTAAAATAACAACAGGATGGACCTAAACCAACGTTTAGTGAGGAGTTGAAATCTCCTTAAGTCTCTGTGTGAAACCACCAGAAATGGAGGAAAAAGAAGGAAATATAGGAATTTCGACGACGTGCGGCACGCATTCGACCAGAGATGTCGTGCTTCTCTGGAGATGAAATCTCTAATCATTGTGAACAGATTTTCAATCCTATTGCAATTAATTTCCAATTGAAACGCTGTTCTGGGAGACATGATGTTTTCCCTTTCATCTGAATAGCTTTCCGTTTGTCGAGTCTTGAGAACAACGCTCTACATGCATCAATTGCCGTTTATTAGCAGCTTGTTAGGTGGAAAAGAAAGAAAATATCTGATCTCACAGAGCTACGGAGCACATCTCATCGCAGTTCATACCGTGGTGAAGGTCAGCGAATGGGAGCTTGTTTCTAGGCGTTAGGAAAGCACGTGTCGGTCAAAGTAACGAAGCAGGACCACTGACATGTGGGAGAAGACAGACAACTTCAGCATGACCAATCCACCATGCAAACCCCCCGAAAACTGCGCACATTTTGACTGACATGCACCACTTTTTGGTCAAGCAGTACAGCGGAGAGCAGGAGAGCATTCGTTCAGACCACAACAAAAGGGAAAAGAAGAAAAAACGGTCCAAAACATAGAACATAAGGAACCAAAAGCAGAATTGAATCATAGACACGCCAATGCAGCTACAATCATTTTTTCATACTCTTGGGAATTGTGACTAGCGTCTGTATCATTTGTTTTCTGAATTTGAAGATGGTTAGAAAAAAAACAAAACACACCAACCTTCTCGCAGCTCTGAGGGATGTAGGGAATTGATGCGGAAACAAAATAAAATGAGGAGAAAAACAAGGGAAAATACAGAGAGAGTAAAACAGGCCACATTCAACCCAGAGAATTGCTGCTAGAGACAGAATGTCTAGGAAAAGAAAAGTGTGCGGCATTTTACAAGCCTTTTATTGCGCTGCCCATTAAACAATATGACACAGGTCCAGTTATGAGCTTTACATGCCATCAGCAGTTACTGTGGTCGTTCCTCTGGAGTTTTGTTCATACAGCCTTTGAGAAACATACTTTGGTTTTTCATGTGAACCACATGACTGGGACCTGTGCATGAATACAGCCGCAGTATTTAAAGCAGTATCATGTTTGTCTGAGCAGCGCTGGACATCAGGCCTGCAAGGTTTATAAAATGGAACATATTTTATGACAAATTTAGGCTTAAAGTCAACATGAAATCATAAGCACAGTTTTCTGACTAATATGGGAGATTCAGCGGCTACAGAGCGCAGGTGTTTTTAAGTTTGTACCAACCAATCATTTCCTTATGGATGAAATGAAAAAAAAACAGCTCTTTTTTATATGAAATATGTCTCACTATCAAAGTAAAAAGGGTTGCGAACACAGTTTCATGTTGACTTTAATGTGCCAGATTATACAGATGTTCCATCATAAGTCAGTATAAAAAAAAAAAAAATTTTATATTTATACAGTGGAGGGACAACTTCAGCATGACCAATCCACCATGCAAACCCCCCGAAAACTGCGCACATTTTGACTGACATGCACCACTTTTTGGTCAAGCAGTACAGCGGAGAGCAGGAGAGCATTCGTTCAGACCACAACAAAAGGGAAAAGAAGAAAAAACGGTCCAAAACATAGAACATAAGGAACCAAAAGCAGAATTGAATCATAGACACGCCAATGCAGCTACAATCATTTTTTCATACTCTTGGGAATTGTGACTAGCGTCTGTATCATTTGTTTTCTGAATTTGAAGATGGTTAGAAAAAAAACAAAACACACCAACCTTCTCGCAGCTCTGAGGGATGTAGGGAATTGATGCGGAAACAAAATAAAATGAGGAGAAAAACAAGGGAAAATACAGAGAGAGTAAAACAGGCCACATTCAACCCAGAGAATTGCTGCTAGAGACAGAATGTCTAGGAAAAGAAAAGTGTGCGGCATTTTACAAGCCTTTTATTGCGCTGCCCATTAAACAATATGACACAGGTCCAGTTATGAGCTTTACATGCCATCAGCAGTTACTGTGGTCGTTCCTCTGGAGTTTTGTTCATACAGCCTTTGAGAAACATACTTTGGTTTTTCATGTGAACCACATGACTGGGACCTGTGCATGAATACAGCCGCAGTATTTAAAGCAGTATCATGTTTGTCTGAGCAGCGCTGGACATCAGGCCTGCAAGGTTTATAAAATGGAACATATTTTATGACAAATTTAGGCTTAAAGTCAACATGAAATCATAAGCACAGTTTTCTGACTAATATGGGAGATTCAGCGGCTACAGAGCGCAGGTGTTTTTAAGTTTGTACCAACCAATCATTTCCTTATGGATGAAATGAAAAAAAACCAGCTCTTTTTTATATGAAATATGTCTCACTATCAAAGTAAAAAGGGTTGCGAACACAGTTTCATGTTGACTTTAATGTGCCAGATTATACAGATGTTCCATCATAAGTCAGTATAAAAAAAAAAAACATTTTATATTTATACAGTGGAGTGATTCTTCACTTAGGGGACCTTCTGATTGCTTGAAAAAAGAAACAAAAATAATTAAATATTTATTTCACCTTTTAATGGATTATCTCTGAACTAAAGTTCTCAAATAGTGGCCAATTAGGTAATTACATCTAATAAAGTTACTCTCTGATTTAAAAATCTTAAAATTAATAACATTTCAAAACATCACTTCTCATTTCCCAGAAAACCACATATAAACCCAGATATATGACAGCAGCATTGAGTCATTCTATTGCAGCTCTCTGACATAATTAATTTCAGGCTATGATAATATCTCCATTAAAACTACAGTCTTTTTTCTAACTAACACTTTATTTAATCATCCTAGGGGCAGAAGTGTTCACTTAATTGAAGAAGCCTCCATATATATTACATCATAGGCTTTTACACTACATTTCAGACTAAAGATCCCACTGAATACAAAATAAGATTATACTGTAAAAACTGACCACAATTTATGTTAAGTTAAAAAAAAATATATATTTTTTTTTATTTTGCTCTAAAATAAATTCAGATAGATTTATTCCATATTAGCGAGTAAAGAGAGATGAAAAACAGAGCGCTCAGACATTTGCTGTAGAGAGTAGAGAGGTTAAGCTCAATCCATCATTCCTGTTATCTTAATTAACAGTCATATAACATACACAACAAGCATTCAAGTCAATAAAGGTTAAATTACAATTCAACACCAGACAGGCAGAAAATCAAGGCTGCAGTAAATGTCGCACTTACAAAATGCTCACGTAACCAGAGGGACCCCAGCGACAAAACTGGGCTCGATTTGCTTAAAATGTGTGTGCGTCTGAGTTTTTACATGTTCTTTTGTCGGCTTCATCTACCGCCGTGAGCTGTTCCTACCTCTGACATACAGGTTGGCAGGTGCGGAATAGCGCGTGCCATCGTTGTTGGTCGCGACACATTCGTACTTCCCTTGGTCCGATTCCTCGCTTTGTTCGATTTGCAGCGCTCCTACACAGTGGGAGAGAACACCAGCAGAAAAAGATAATTACAATAATAACACCAGCCATTAAACAACTTTCACCAAATCACACGCTATGACTATTTCTCTCTATAAATGGCGTTATTTGCTCTGTTTAGGTCTCCGCCACAAAATGGCTCGGGCTAAAGGCCTGCCGCTATACTGACGCTTAACCCTGAGAGGCGACATCTGCAGGCATGCCTCGCATTGGACAGCTCGGCACAGACTTAACCAGTTTATGCAAGCTAAGCTCCTGGAAGCTGGGGGTAGAAATGTTTCCCCTTAAAATGTCTAATGCAGTGTTTCATTCTCTAGAACCGATGCATCATGGGAAAGCAATTTTGGCACTAAAGATGGATTTCACGGTGGATCCGTGATGCATATTATGATTTTGTCAGGAATGGAGTAATTTCGAGGTGCTTAAATCGAAGTGTGTTGCGAGCTCGTATCTCGCCATGCTGACTATCTTGGCGCCGGCCTAGAGAAGAGCGCGACGAGCACTGCAGTAGACATTCGAGAGGGCACACAGAAAGAAACCAAAAGAAAAGAGACTTTGCAGCGTTAATTATCTCGGACATTTTACAACCACATCAATGGAGAGGAAAACATACAGTACAGGATACATGTTGCAGGGTTTCTAAAGGCACTTAATCGTACGGGTGGTTCAAAATAGTTTGAGCTTTACTGTTTAGAAAAACAGTTGTGATAATAATCAATAATAATACTGATCG